GGAAGAGGAGTCAAACCCTTGGACTAAACCTCTAGAGCCTCAACCAACGGCTCAGAAGGAGGAATCTGCTCCTCGACTTTCTCTTCAATCTTCTCGTTAGTTAGGCCGAGGGGACGTACCTGCTCTTCTATCTTTTCCTCCTCGAGTCGAGGTTTCTTCGCAGGAACGGGGGCAGCTTGATATTGCCCTGGCTTAATGACAACTCTCCTCTTCCTCGGCCAAGACATTTCTTCGTCTGAAGATAACTTTTGGACAGCTTCGGCGGGCTCTCTCTCGTCCCTTTCTTCTTCGTCAAACTATAGAAGAAGGAACAAGGGGGGCAAGGAGCCATGTAAGTAAAAAAATTTGGATACAAACAACAACAACAAACAAGTCAAGTTTGAAAGTTTACCGAAGTCTTGAGCAGAAGCTCGTCTTCGTCTTCACTTCCTTTAACCCTTGGAGCAACTGTTTCAACTCGCTCGGCAACAGGAGCAGAGTTCTTAGCAGCAGCTGAAGCACGGGCTGCAACGGCTTGTTCTTCGACAGATAGAAGTAAAAAGGGGTCACGTTTTGCCCACCAGACTTTCTACTGCTAATTTTCAATCGCGCTGGCAATTTGAAGCCTCTTTTTGTGCAAACTGAGGGGCTGATCCTTCGAATCGGTGATTTAGGGTGTATTCGTGATTGGATCCCTCTCTTGAGTGATCCCAAGCACCCTTTAATTGATGCCCGAGTTCTCTTCGTACAACACTGAAAGGACAAAACGACAGTTAGCCTTGCAGAAGAAAACATGCATTGAAAAACAAAAGAAATAAAAAATAAAGTCCTCGGCCCCAGCCAAGCTCCTTACCGCCTTGATACTTTCGGTTGAGGTAGACGACAACAAGCATCTTCTCTTAGAAGATGAAGTGGCAGCAAGGCAGCCAAGTGGTAGGGACTGTCTTCATTCGGCCAGCAGCCCCGCACATTGTAGATCGGCCGAAATGTTCCATTTGCTTTAGATCTAGAGGGGTGAACTCATCAGGGCCAATGTTAGCCATTTGAGGATCAGGTTTTCTCAGATACCTCGGCGCACCGAAGTAATTTGGGTGTTCTTCGTCTTGGGGCACCCTTACCCAGATCCATTGACCCCTCCACTCTTTGTCAGAGGTATCATTCGGCCAGACCGAAGACAACCCTTCTCATCTTCAATCTGCCACCAGCCAGGCCCATTATGCTTGTTCGTCTGGACATCGGCACAAGCTTGTAAGTACATCGGAAGCAGTGTACGCTTAACGTAAATCCGAAAAAACAGGCATACCCAAAGGTATGACATCAGCCTTCGGATGATCACCGACATCAGCTGAGGCAAGGATATGTTGTAACCGTTCAGCATCTGGGTCACAAAAGAATGAAGTGGGAATCGAAGCCCGTACTGTAGCTGACGAGTATAAACTCCGATGTAACCTGGAGGAGGGTAATGAATCCAGACATAAGAAGTGGGCATTCAGCACCAATACCCATCCTCCTCCATAATCCCATAGAAAACCTCAATTTTCCCGGCAAAATTGTATTCGACATCATTCCCATTCCACCAATTATACGGGGGGAAACTCATAATGCCTGTATTCGCAGCCTCGTCCTGCCATTCCCTTTCCTCAGGGGTCAATGGCCTAGACGCCGAAGCCTCGCTTTGGCCAGAAGTGCTAGCCAATCCTAAAGCTCGAGGGGGCAAAGGGGTTAGTGGGACGGCGTGAATGGCAGAGCCGTTGGAAGCGGCGACAACACCAGTCCTAGCCCTAGGTTTCTGGTCGCTGAGAGGTGGCATCATCGCCAAAGGTCGGTTCCGCCGCGTAATCAACTGCGGAACCTCCTCCTCCTCCTCCTCTTCAACATTCGGCTCAGCCTCCACTTTTCTTTTTCCACGGTCGCCGGCCATTTTCAACGGTGGTTGTGCGAATAAACGGAAAAAGGGGGGTACTTGAAAAGGCAAGAAAATCGAAGAAAATTACCTTGTTCAAACGCGAAATTTGCCGATCTATAAGTTCGGAGCAACAAATTTCGGTTTCAAGCCTCGGATCGCTGAATACGAGTAAAAAAGGGAAAAAGGGCTTAGCAGTGGCGATTAGCGAAAAACGATTGGCAATTAGCAAGGAAAGTAAGGAGAGAGAGTGGGATGAGTGGTGTAAATACCTTCCAGAATTGGGAATTTTGGGAGTTCGCGCCACTAAAGCCCCACTAACTCCACTTCAATGCTTCACCTTTCCGTCTTCTTCTCACGTTAATCTCCCACTAAATTATCCACATTCTCCATCAACTCCAAACAACAGTTATTATTTTAATAACTCCCAAAATAAATTCAAATGGCAATTAAATCATTTGCTTCCCTCCATTTTGCAAGTCAAACCCTATTCGTCAAATTTCTGAACCGGGTCTGAGGGGGCAAGTTGTTTGGGTCCAATTTATTCTAATTAGGCCGGTCCACAAATGATTCAAATACAAGCCCAAAGGAGGTTCAACCCTCTCTCAAGGCATGCCAAGTCAGTCAAAGGTCCAGTCAACATGGCAAGCCCATTTGACCTCAAGGCCCATTTATTCTATTTGAGCAAGGTATAAAAGCCTTCACTTCACTCTGTCTCAATTCATTCACTTCAAGCCTTAAGTAATTAATTCTCTTGCATAGCTTTCTCTCTCTAGAATCACTGTACTGACTTTGGCATCGAAGGGGCCTTCCTCGACACAACCCCCGAGGCCAGTTAGTGTGTTTGCTGTGCAGGAAACCGTTGTCCCAATCATCTCTTGGGCCGAATCCAGTGTTCAGCTCACAGGAAAGGTCCAGACGAAAGACCCATTGTTTTTACCCGAAACAGTCTGTAAACCATATTTAAGATTAAAGATAGCATAACCGATCTTTATTCAATTTTTTTTTTTTTTTTTTTTTTTTTTTTTTTTTTGGTGGCAACATTATTGTTGAAGTGTTGAGCATACTACTAGTCTACTATTAGCCAACAAGCAACAACTTATTGTTAGTACTTTCCTATATAGTATGTTGATTTAAATATTTTTTTTCCTCTTGGTGTTCCACCCGCTTGACCCTTTGGGCTAATCCGGATTTGGAACTCAGTTGTGGGTGGTTGGATTTCAATCCCCTCCCAATTATTGTTGCGGGGGATCGAACACACAGTCGGCAGTCCTCTTTACCAAGTGCAGCCTCAATCACCATTGCACCAACAACAAATTTGTTGATTTAAATAATTTAAACATGTGCCTTTAGCATTTCTTATATTCAAACGTTTCTTAACATTAATAAAAAAAACACTTACATTGGTTTACCCCGGGAAAATAAAAGTTTTTCAATTTGATAAACAAAATATGTTTATCTAAGGGTAGAGTAGTCAATATTTGCATTTATTTATGGGTAACTTTGTAATTTGGGTGATAAAAGATGTTAACGACGTTAATGAAAAATGGGGGATTCAAAGTGCTTCAATGGAGAAATCAGCAGGTGCAATAGAGGAAATCAAGCTCACGAACTACATCAATGGAGAAAGACGAAAAGTCATACCCTTTGGGATTAATCATACATGCCCTTCATTTTCACATTTCTCTTAGGGTTTTCGTTTTATTTGACGGCGAAGCTGCCGAAAATAAGATAGTGGAAAAGGTGGGTCATGACGAGGAAGCTTCAAGGATCCATTGCCATGGAATAAGAAGCATCAATGGAGACTAAAGCTTCAAAAAGCATCGGCAGAAGCTTCAAATGGCATAAAAAATGACAAGTAAAATGAGCTTAGTGATGAGTTGGCATGCTTCACTATTCCTAATATTTACAATTGCCGCAAGTAGAAAGAAAGGCTACAGAATTGTAATAAAAAGTGCAATTTAAAGTGGTTCAAATTAAAACTTCTTTTATCAGATCAATTAGACAAGTGAAACCTTATTTAATAAGGTTAGTTTAATTAGTGAGTCAAGCTATTTCAAAATTTCTATATAATGAGTTTAAGGTGAATGGAGCTTTAAAATAAAATTCATAAACCTTAGACTAAACAAAATGATGATGATGATGATTATCGAAACCTAAAACTAAATAAATCAAGAAACATACCAATTATACTTTACTATTAAGGCCTTGTTTAGTTCGCCTTATTTTTGCTTATATGAACTTATCTGATCTGATCTGGTCTGATGGTCTGACATGATCTTATTGTCTGATTTGACTAAACTTTGACCTTAAGTGTACGATAATGTGTAAGGAAAAAATATATCAAGTGAAATAGGATCTTGTTAGATTCATAATAATGTTTATTTTATTAATATGTAATTTTCATAATTTTTTTATTATGAAATTAAAGATATTTAACGATAAAAAATTGCACATAAACGATGATCTGATCTGAACTTATTTTTTCTGAAATAAGTAAAAATAAGTTGAACTAAACAAGGCCTAATTAATCACAATAATTTCTTTAATTAGCCAAATTTATTTAGCGTTGAACTATCACTAGTACATAATTGACCTTAAGTAACACCCAAAAAGTGGTACATAAAGTAGTAAAAGTGTTATTATAGATAATAGGTAACACTTTAGTGGGTGATACATCCGCCCATGTTACCTATGGTCTCATGTAACACTTCAGGTAACATATGGTAACACTTTTAGAAGTGTTATTATAAACCCTCTTATGTAACACTTTTTATATCATTAGTATCATTTTTAAAGTGTTACTTTTAATTTCTTATGTAACACTTACTTATCTTTCGTAACATTTTTCAATCATATAGTAACACTTTATCTGACATTGTGTATCACTTTTGCGAGCTAATATAACACCTTGTTGGTCATTAGGTAACATTTCTCATTCATCTTTTGACATATACTAAAACTTTATTCGACATTATGTATCGTTTTTTGCAATCTAATGTAACACCTTGTTAATTAATAGGTAACATTTTAAAATATGCTATTTTCATTTTTTTAAAATATAAAAATTATATTAACATATACAACAATCACAAATGTTAAATTAACATATACGATAGACATTAATTTGAATTGATCTAATTTCATAGTACTTAAAAAAAATACATAAACACTAATATTTTTAACCTATAGTAGCTTGAATATATACAATTTATTTTTCAATCAGTTGAATCTATACATAATATAATGAATATATAAATAATATACCTAAAATAACTTGTTATTTTACACTTGCAAAAAATTTACAACTGGAGTATTCAAAACAACAAGAGCAGCAGTTCCAGCAGAGCCGAAGTAGCAACGCAGCAGGTGCTCTAGCAAGGCATAATGTGAAGCAGCAACCCAACAGAGCAGAATGTGAAGTAGCAGGGGCAGCACTATCGGCAGTAGAAGGGCAGCAACAAAATCTAACTAGGTAGGAAGCCTTAACCCCTCTAATCGTCAAAAGCCGATCCTTTGAAGATGCAGGTATGTAAACCGTTAACCATGACAAAAAAAATAATAAAATAAAAAAATTGCTGAATGACAACCCTAACACTACAGCTACTGCATTACTAGGAATATATGACGCGTAAAACCGTTTCCCTGCATCTCGTTAGTCATCATAGTAGGAGTGAGTAGAAAAACCCGATGCACCAATTTATACCTATTTCATAACAGCCTAAAAAAGGAAGTAAATCAATTACTAAAGAACTCCATACCACTTCATACTAGGGTTTGCTTGTGCATATCAAAGGTGTCGAGCATCCACCACTAGTCCTACAACAAAAATAAAATGACCTCTGTTATTAAGCACAGAACACAACCCTGTTGTAATGGCCATTTTCAAAGCACTAGGATCAGAAAAACCACGTTCAAATTTGATTAGTAAAATGCAGTTCAGCTATGTCAAATTGTTAGTTCTAATTTCTAAGGATTGTAAGGCAAATGAATAAAAAAAAATGCTAAAATTGACTTATTAATGATCTCAGATTTCATGATTAGTTGATACCTGAACTCAATCACAGTTTGCAAGACAAGGACACTTCACTATAATAGCTGATACATAGCGTGTCACGTTCACAGTGACTAACTTAGATCAAAGCTTACTCGGCCCTGCAATCCAGCCTGCATTAGGCAACTTATAGATTGCAAGTATTTCAGATTTAGATTAATATCTGCATAAAATATGATTATATTCAATCATTTCATATAGATAATTACAAAGAAAGAATAGGCACCAAACTGGGCATGACTTTGCCAATGCTATGCTTTCCAAGGAACCCCCAAAAGCAGTCAGCTGTTCTTTTCCTATAGTTATTAATTGCAGCAACAAGCTCAAAACTTGTGATTATGTTTGTAGCATCCCGTGCTCCTCCTAACCCAGTTAACATAAGCACACATAAACAGCAAGAACACAATTGCACATGTAGACATAATAAAATTAAGTAGTAATTACATATAAAGACTGCAGCGCCAAGCAATTACCTCAACAACTACTATATCAACATTCTGATCATCCAATAGAGTAAATTCTATAGCTGTAAGGACCTAAAATATTTCCATTCATTAATTGAAATAAAAAAAATTATAACAATAATTATAGGAGTGCAAATGAAGAGAAAACTTCCAAATGTTGAATGAAAGTAGGACATCAAGATATGTATTCCAAACCTTCTAACAGACACAGGAACTAATGTGTAATTTGTCAAAAAACTATAAATACGAGACAAGTTAACAAGGACAAACCTAGGAATGAAGAGGCCTAGTAACATAGGGTGAGAATATTCTATAGCATAAGAAACATAAATGAAGAATGAACAAGACTATCTATTTTCTTAACCACACAATAAGTCATCAACGAACAGAGTATGTCTTAAGGTGGCCAATCCCGGCCCCTCAGTGGTTAACTTGTACTAGATTTAATCTCCATACCACAGCAACAAACATATTCTAATCATTTAATGAGTCAAGGGACAAACAGCAATAAGGTTGGTAACTCGGATCCCAACTCAATCTATTAGACAAAAGAAGCAAATGAGGATGATCTACTGAAGATACACTCAAACAATTTCTACTACTTAATCATTGCTTTAAACTATACAGCTAATTCAAATAATCTGAATGCTAATCTGAAAAGTCTAATCCAAAAACTTTAAACTCTTCAAACCCAAAATTGCTTCAATCTTTCAAAATTTCAATTAGTTTAAACCAATTCAATTCATTACCTTCAACTCATTAAAACCCATTTAACCCCTTGCAAACTTCTCTCGTATAATACCCTACATTAAGCTAAAATATAATACAAAACAAATTAAAACTTTAAGCTCTAATTGCTAAAATACCCTACCTCAAGTCTTCAACAATCGGTCAAAAAAAAAAAAAAAGTCTTCAGCAATCGTAATTCGAAAAATTTAGATTAAAAAAAACAAAACTTAATATAAAAATCGACAATCTTAATTAGTAATTAATTTCAAAATATTCATCAAGCAATTGGAATAAGAAAAATTAAAAAAAAATCAAATAACCCTAGATTTGAACAACAATCAATAAATCCAAAGAACTAACAAAAAATTTAAAGATTACCTGAAACAGAATGGCTTCGACCCATTATGTGAGTAGGAACGGCCGCCAGGAATGATAAATGGAATTATAGATCGACAGACGATGGATGTGTGCATCGTTAATTCGTCACTCAACAACTGAGGCCTTCAGTGGTAAGTGTGTGGGGACGTTGGGTGGCCAGTGAGGCCTTTGTTGGCCAGTGGGTTGGAATCGGCGTGGGGTGGCCGGTGGGGCGATGAGTGACAAACTGGTGAGTTTTTAAGAAGGGAAAAATTGAGATCAGGGAATTGGTAAAGAGTAAAGGAGTTAAGGAGGATAGAGAGAAGCCAAATACTTCGTAAGAATGTTTTTATTTTTATTATTTGTTTTTTTATTATTATTATTTTTTATCGTAACATTTACCACTAATACTAAAGTGTTACAACCAACTGCTACATAAAATTAAAGTGTTACAACTAAGTGTTACCTAATATTAAAGTGTTACAATCAAGTGCTACCTAACATAAAAGTGTTACAACCAAGTGTTATATAAAACCAAAGTGTTACAAGAATGTTACTTATATATCAATTAACTTTACAACTTTAAAAGTGTTACCATTTGGTGTTACCTAATGTCACTTTTGTAGTAGTGTATTTACTTAAATTACTTTTAGAGAAAGATTAGCGCAGTCTTGTCTTAAGACTTAAATCTATTGCCACATTAGTTATTAGCTTAAATTTAATTATTTTTTTTAATTTAAAATTATGTTAAGACTCCTTAAGACTCGATCAAATTTATCTCTTCATCCCTACGACCCATTTTAGATTTCCTTAAAATATTTATTATTTTTATTCCTTTTAACATATTATATTTTAATATTAAAATTCATATTATGCAATATAGATGATGCATAAAAATAAAAAACAATGATGCATAAAAATAAATTATAATGGAATTACATGAAATTTAAAGATTTTAAAATACATGAAAAATATATTAAAAAATAAAATAAAATAAAAAAGTAAAACATATTGCATTAAGAAAGTTGTAATGTAAAATAAAATTGACTAATGTAAAATTGATCTGAACCCCAAAACGACTTTTTAAAACTAATTTTTTTATATTATATATTAAAATTGTTTATACGTAGTAACATGTTTTATGTTATTGAAAATGAATACAGTAAAATGAAGGTCCACAATCCAAGGATGGGTATGGATGTTCTTCAAGTTTTTCTAGTGAGTCTTGCTGCACCTGGATGCATACACTTTGTTTCTAAAAAAAAAAATACAACGTATATTTACAATTTTTTTTATATAAATCAAATAATTAATGTTTTTAAAAATAAAAAAGTTAATTAATTTTTTTTAATCAAAACACTGTGTTTTGATGTGTATATAGGTAAAAACACAGTGTAGAAGTGTTAAGTTGAGTCTTAAGTTGAGTCTTGAATTTTCAAGACTCCACTTGAGATTTTGTTAAGACCAAGCCACATAAATGTATAAAAAAAATAAAGTCTTGTCTTAAGACCACAAAATCATAAATTGATGATGTCACCTATAGTCTTAAGACCTAGAGCTAATCTTGCTCTTACAAGGTAATAAGAAAGACAACTAAACTGAAGGACAATTATACAAGTCGATCCAATATAGCTTTTTAGGTCATGATGTCAAACTAGCTTGATTAAAAATATTTATATTGCACGAGATTGGCCACAAGCTTAGCTTGTTTTGCGCTTATTACATACGAAGTACTCTATCCAATTTTTTTAATGCAACACTTTATATAACTGCCCTTATTTCTTTAAATAGATTACTTTCTTAAATGAAAATATTATAAACTATTTTAATAATTTTTTCTATCATATCTCTAACTATTATTAAATAATTCCTCAACAAACCGCACTTGCACAATATGTTTAACTCAACACTCATAAAATTATGTACGGATGGCAGATCAAAGTGTTGCATTCAAAACAAATGGGGGATTACATAGTAAGGCCCTATTTACTTTGCCTTAAAAAAAATATTCAGCTTAAACAATTCTGATTTAGTAAAAATAAGTTCAATTCAGTAAAATTAATTTCAGTACAATAAAAGTACAAATCAATAACTTTAAAGAATAAATTTAATGCAAAATCAGTAAAAATAATTTAAGTTTACCAAAAATAATTTCAATTCACTAACAATAATTTAATTTCAGCAAAATAATTTCAGTTTAGTAAAAATAAGGTGCAATATAATTATATAATATAATTAACTTGTGTCACCTACTGTCCTACTAGCTTGCCGGGGAGAGCAGGTCAAGGATAAGTAACCACAACCGGATTGCCACCGGGCAGATTACTAACTAGAAAAACGTAACTGAGTTCTTTTAATTTGTAAATGCTTTAATCATATAATTAATGCCTGATAATTACACCCCAAACACGTAAGACTGACTTCAATTTTCCAAAAAGTGAGATTTAGAAATTTTTTTTTTTTTGAAAAACAAGAAAAGGGGAATGTTATTAACCAGCATCCATTTCCGCTAGCTTTTGAATGCCATCCGGAAACGGATCAAAACACACAGATTCATCACAGTTCACAGGGCACGATCTAGCAAGCAAATGTGCCACGACATTACCCCCTCTCTTAATATGACTACAATGAGAAAAGTTGAAAGCAGACAATAAATTAAGGATACGACTAATATAAACAAAAACATAGCTTAGCCCTTCCTGTTTCTTGTTTATTTTCTGGATCACTCCCAACAGTGGCGGAGCCAGGATTTGTAATCCGGGGGGACAATTTTTAGATGTTTAATAATCGACAATAATTATAAGAAAAAAGAAATTGATCACATAAATTGTTTAATATATATTTGAAATCGCTTATGAGATATGACAATTATTCTTATATGGTGAAAGAGGAGTTGTTAAAAAATTAATTGCATATTAAGAAATTTATTAACCAAATTTTTTTTTTTATGCTGGTAAACCCCAATTTTAAGGTATGTAATCCTTAATAATCGATAAATATGATTTATCAAATGATAAGCATTTACACAAATTGATAGTAGATGTAAAGGGATTTGGGTTACATTTTAAAAAAAAAATAATAATAAATAAATAAACTTTCTTTGACTAAAAATAAAATTGGAAACTTAGTTCCAAACAAGCTATAAAAAAATAGAATTTAGGCACACATAATTAGAGAGATAAAAAAATACGGAGACATGTGTTCATTACAAATAGTTTAATAACACATTAGTAATCACTATCAACAAGGCGATACTTGATTAAACAGTTAAATGAGAGTAATTAGAGGTTTGAAGACTTATAATACTTTGTATATATAAATTACATACTATATAATGAAATTTAAAAACCAGTAAAAAAAAAATGGCAAAATCCAAAAACAAGAAAAAGAAGTTAAATAGGAGCACTTTGTATAAACTATAAAATGAAATAAAAATAAAGTCCAAAAATAGCAAAAAGAAACAAAAAAAATGATCGGGTAAAGAATCGAACCTAGGATCAAAGAGAAATACAAGCTTTACTCAAGCCCATCAACCACCAGACCAAATGTTGTCTTTGTTATATAAGGTATACATGTAAGGTATTTATTCTTATTTACAGCATTTATTTAAGCTAACATAAATTAAATTTTTTTTTGGAAAAATGGGGGGACAACCGTCCCCCCTTGTTCCTACATGGCTCCGCCCCTGACTCCCAAGGCATCACTCTCCACCCACACATTGACGAACCCAAAACGAATTGCCAGCTCCAAACCAAATAGGACAGCAGCAGCCTCTGCAACTAACGGGTCCCAAGCACCAGCAAAACCTCTTGATCCTGTAAACATCAGCTTACCATTCGAGTCTCTGGCAGCCACACCCAAGCCCGTCCTACCTGAGTTTAAAATTGCAGCGTCCGAGTTTAGTTTGATCACACCGTCAGGTGGCTTCATCCAGGAACAAGGAGACAACGTATACTTGGGCACCCCTCCTAACACACGGCATGAGTAAAGGTTATGCTCCTGAGTATATTTAACCAAGCCTGCTGCCAGTATCCTAGGATCGTGACATTCATTTGTAAGCAACGTTTTATTTCTACTTGTCCATGCCGCCCAAGCCAATGAGGCAAACACCCCTAACTCAGGTCTGGGTAGCCTATCAACCACATAGGCGAGAACCTCCTGAACTCTACTATCCCCTTTCTCATCAATCAAATCCCTGAAATGACTTGAATCCCAAATCTCTTTCGCTGCCTTACATCGGAACAACACATGTGACAGGGACTCCACAGCTTCAGGGCATTGCTGGCAGCAAGGTTCAGTTTTGATGTGACGTCGGTGAAGCTCCTCATTTACAGCCATGGAGTTCGAATACACTCGCCAGAGAAAATGTTTTAGCTTTGGTGGGCACTCCATATCCCAAATTCTCTTCCATGTCCTTTCCTCCATGCCCATTCCCGACTCACTGTATCCAATAATGCCCAACCAATAAGCAGTACGAACAGAAAAGACCCCATCCTTCGTTAGACCCCAAACCTGAATGTCTTCCTGAGCACAAGAGTGTAACGGGATTGACAAGATATTGGGCACATCTTGAGGTTGCATATAGCGAGAAACACAGACTAAGTCCCAGGAGCCTGTAGAAGTGTCAACCATTTCAGCAACAGTTAGGTTTGGGTCAAAGAGCCCATTGGGGGTAGGAGACGGAACCACAAACTTACCACCAACAGGCAGCCATCTATCTTTCCACGCTGAGATCTTCAGCCCGTTACCAACACGCCAACACAATCCCTCCAGAAGGAGAGCTTTTGCCCCCCAAATGCTTCGCCATGTGTAGCTTGGGTCAAAACCTCTTCTCGCCTCAAGGAAATTACTATTTTTAAAGTAACGAGCCTTGAGTACACGATGTAAAAGAGAGTCTCCCCCATGCAAGAGTCTCCAACCTTGTTTTGCCAAGAGAGCTTGGTTAAAAACCTTTAAGTTGCGGAATCCCATACCTCCTTTTGCCTTTGGACGACATAAATAATCCCAAGACTTCCAACGTATTTTCCTCTCAACTCCATTACCCCACCAAAACCTAGCCAGAATAGAGTGTATTTCATCCAAAAGGGTATCAGGAATTTTGAAGACCCCCATCAAGTAGGTCGGGATTGCCTGTGCAACAACTTTTATAAGAATTTCTTTCCCCGGCTTAGAGAGCAATTTCTCCTTCCAACCCTGTAGTTTCTTCCATATTCTTTCCTTAAGTCCTGCAAAGACCGCTTTTTTCGATTTCCCAATAACAGTCGAAATTCCCAGATACTTCTCATGTCTGTCACTTCCTTCACCCCCAATAATTCACAGATATTTCTTCTA